TGTGTGCGTGCGTGCGTGCATGTGTGCGTGCGTGCGTGTGTGTGTGCTTGGAAAAACTCTAAATCTTGACTTTAAAAAAAAAAATTTATAAATGAAATGTAATGAACTATACATTAAAGCACTGCTTTCTGCCAAAATCTGATTTGACAGGTAACAATGCACATAATATATCATATGATTATATTAACACATATTTGATTTAATTAAAATATATCATTAGATATGAAGGCAACAAACCAATTAGTGCTTAGTAAATAAATCTCTTTGAGTGGGACAGCCTAGATGTTGTCAGAGACGGCCAATCAAACCTTGCATACAATGGAAAATGATGATAACATCTTAACACAACTTGATAAAGCAGCTGCAATGAGGAGGCATTGGCACTGCTATATAAAACATCACCTTTTCCTAGTGTGTTTTAATGATATTCTGCTCAATGTTTTATCAGAAACAAGTACAGTTGCTGTATCAGCTTATTTAGGTGCCTATTTGCAGTACTGATAGCAGCCTTCCTGCACTTAGACCCCTTATTGATAATGGCCCATTTTACTAGGCATAGACCTATAGGTTGCATAATGGACAGTGATGTAGTCAGCCAGGAACTTTATATGAGCTTGTTGTTCCAATCGACCTTCTTGAAGTCACGATGCCAGGGCACATAATGAAAAAGAATCCAAAATAGATTCAATTTATGTAAGGCTGGTAAAGCAGACTTGAACCAAAGGCTTATGTGGGGTTTTATGTTCACATAAGCCATCACATTTTCCCCTGAGTCTGACCACCCACACTGTGATTTTTCGGGCATAGAAAGTTCAAGGGATATTTGGCTCTCGATCCAACCACTGTCCTCCGCACCCCCTCCTGTATAGCTGTCAGTATCGCATCTAAAGGAAAGGACTGGTAGGTGAGTTTGTCAGATGCAAATATTGCTGCTGATCATTTGGGAGAAGGTTATGACACGGTGGCAGAAGTTCTGTCAGGGCGAGAGAAAGAAAATGACAAAGATCGAGGGAGAGAAAGAAGGCAAACCTCAGGAGAGGATTTGTAATTCCTCCTGATGCTTCCCAAACTTCGGTTGACTGTAGACAGTCAGGCAGGCTGTGCCTCACCGAGCGCTGGTGTTTCCTTTGGGGGCCCCCTCCCGGCCGAGGGGGGAGGTGGAGAATTGCAATCCCACCCCGTCAAAGTGCTCTCTCTTAAACACTCACGTACACACACGTACACACACACACACACACACACACACACACACATACAGCAACTCTCCACAGGAAAAGCTAGAGACAGAATGCGCAGCCCCTTCACAGCAGCTTTGGTGCGTCGTGGCGTCCAAATGGGATCGTGCTACACTTTGATAGTTGGTTAATTACTCATATGATACCACACAGATGTCTGGGGGGCTCTAGCCGAATATTCGTCTCACTAACTCACTGACTGACTGACTGACGGGATCCTGGGGAAGGCAGACATTTAAGGAGCGGTAGGTAAAAAACCAGGAGGCATTTATAATTCATTAGTGTAGCAGTTTACGTGCCGTTAAGGATCCCTTTAGTGCCTAGCTGATGCTAAACTGAGATGCTACTTGAAGGGCTGTCTACTAAATAGTTCCTTGTGTACCAGGTGGTGGCAGGGACTTTGAACAGGAAACACATCTTGGCTCAGAAGTGTTCCTTTGCTGTCAAGATAATGAAAGGGGGTTTCAAATGATTCCAAACAAGATGAGAGTTGATTAACTTTTCTCACTTGTGATTCTCGTGTACAAATATGCTATGTTTGTTATGGATTTATTTAACTTATTTGAAATGCATTCAAATCATTTCTTTGTTATTAACATTTTTTAAAAATAAAATAATAGACATTTTAATGCTATTCTCAGAATATGAGAATAAATTGGTCAAATGTCAAAATATGAAGCTCAGAGTTATTGGAAAATTTGGTAACACTATACAATAAGGTCCTATTAGTTAATGTTAGTTAACTAGTACATTTGTTACAGTATTTATTCATCTTTGTTAACATCATAACAGTTCATTGGTAGTTCATGTTAGCTTAGATCCATTAAAAAAGTACTAGCAGATACAACTTTTGATTTTAGTAATGTAATGTTGAAATTAACAATAAATGCTTTATAAGTTTTTTTTCATTGTTAGTTGAAAACTCATTGCAAGTTAACTAATGTTAACAAACCTTATTGTTACCAAAATTATATCTGAATGATATAAAACCATGTAATTGTTATTAAGCAGTGGTCTTTGAATTTAATAATACTAGAAAACTACATATTGTGAAATTCATATTGTGACATCTTTATTAAGTTTGGGGAAACTGCCCTTATGAATGCCAAATGCAAACCAAAGCGGGAATGTGTGGTGAGGAAACAAACTGATGAAAGCCGTGCAACGGGCGCATTTTAAAAATTACAAATAAAAAAAAAAAGCTTGATGCTGTGCCACTAGCACCATGCCAGCACTGATGGGTACTTGCCGGGAATGACAGGAAAGGCAATGTCTCGTCCCTCTAGCGTGACAGTAACCCGCACTGGCACTTTCCATCTGTGCTCCTCCACTAAATCCCTTTTGAAGTTGTCTTGAAGTTTTGCAGATCTAGTGTTATACTTTAAAGTAATTCTCTTTGATTTTGTTTTATTCTGAGGCCTGCGTCGTATGTCTCTTTATTTTGTGTGCTTGAGCTGCGACAAACTGAACTCCAATTTGCTTAACGACATGTGGTTTTGATGTCCGTCCTGTTGTTTGTTATCCCACAGCTGTGCTAAATAGCTGTAATCAGACTCTTATCGCCTCATCTGGAAATCAAAGAGTGAACTGTGTTCTGCAATGGGCATTACGACACTACAATTGCTTTTGCTAATGGCCGCCCTGGCCACTGTTGGAATATGTCACATAAATGGAACAGAGGAAGTCCTTCAAAACTTTACTACCTCCAAAATCAATGTGCATAAAGGTCTCCAGCCCTCCACCAGAAAAGCCCTGCTGGATAACAAAACCAGAGTGAAGGGGCCTCCATCCTGCAAGGATCCCACTTCCATCAAGCTCTATTTTAAGTATATTAACACAATTATTTCCTGTGCCGTGTTTGTGGTGGGAATGGTGGGTAACGCCACCTTGCTGAGGATTATTTACCAAAACAAGTGTATGAGGAACGGACCCAACGCCCTCATCGCCAGCCTGGCTCTTGGAGACCTCATCTACATCACCATAGACATCCCTATCAATGTCTACAAGGTAGGCACAAATCTGTTTCTTCATTGTTTTCAATCGATAGGAAGCATGACATCATGTTGCTCTCAAAGGGTACTTTTCATAAAGCAGACCAGCCTACAGAGTACAATACAAAAGAGATAGCTTAAGCACAGGAAGGGAGAATGAGCTGGCAGAGGAAGTTGGGAGGGGGCTTAGATGCACAGGGCAGGGGCGTACGATTATATACGGTCATCCAGAGTTTATCTCTAGGGCCGTCCTATTACGGTTACTGAGGTTTTTGTGATGAGTGCAGCAGGGATATGGCCTGATAAAATAAACAGGAGATTGAAGGGCGGTCATCCAAACGAACAGCCCTGTTCTGACTATAGTGCTTCATCACAAGCCAAAGTTCCTTGTCTAATTCTCAGCTCATCAGTGAACATAGTACTTGACAATGAACAGAGGCCTGTGTTAGCAGATGGATCAATGATGTAATGTTCTCTTAATTTATTCAAAAACAGATGAAATATGCAACTCAGACATACAATGACTTAAATACACTTCTTCAATAAAGAGCATATTTTGAATTTCTGTATTAAAAATATGCTCAAAAAATGTCAAGGTCATACAACCGTCCTGATATCATTATGAAGAAACAAGACTTATTAAAAACAAAATGAAATGATTAAAAAGTATTTTGGCGTCATCATCTTATTATTTCTTATGGGATAGAAGAAAGAATATTTTATGCTTCTCTGCTTAATAAAAATCATGTGGTCCAATCTTTAAAAAAAAAAAACATGTGGTCCAAACAAACAGACAAAAAAAAACATAAAACAGGAAATTATTCCATAGAGGACTCCTGCATATCCTCAAGACTGTGTGACAAGGTATAATTATCCAAAAATTCAAGATAATTTTACTTTTTATGGCAATGCAGTTAATGTCATGTAGTGTGACCCCCCAAAATTTACTGACATTTATGAATGAATAATTCTAAATAAAAAAATGGATATTTAAAAGGAAAAATACACATGTATTCAAGGTGTACAAAATATTATTATTATTAATATAATATAAATAATATTTATTTGTGTACATTTTTAAAATGCAATTTTATTTAGTTATTTTTTGTCGTTGAAGATACTTTTTACTTGATGGATACACCACATGACATTTTGGGAGTCATACTGAAACTTTTCTTGAAAAAGGTTGAAAAAGTTTTATTTTTCCCCCCCAAAACAAGCATAAATACAAAGAGTGCATTTCTAAAAACGTGGCAATGTTTTAAACTACTTTGTTTTTCTTTTCTTTATCTTTATCTTTGTCTTTCACTCTCATCACTGACTCATGCCACATTTCCTATCTGTAGTCCGTCTTCACAATTTATAAAGTCAAAACGCTCTCTGAAATGAGTTTAGCACTGAATGTTTGTCTTCCAACTTTCAGCATTCATAAAGTCTGTTATTATGTTTTACAAAATTCATTTTGAGAGACTTTTGGGATATTGGGTGGAGATGTCAGATGAACATACTCTTAAGAGTTTCGTGATCAGAGATCTCGTGTGCTGCTCTATTAGGATGGAAAATATCAAGTGAAAGCTCATATGAAAAAAATAAAAAACATCAATGTTTTAAAATGGAAGTGTGATATTTAGCATGTCTTGTTTTGTGGCGCATAGACTTGTTTTGTGTGCATTCCAGACCACTGACTTCCACTATACATCAAGTACACATACAAACACACTTCTCCAGCTGTGCCACTGATTAAACTCAGCACTCCGCATACAAACAGGGCCAGGATACACCCGTGAGGAGTTTCCTTTCTAAACCTGAGCATAATCCACATACTTTTCCTGCTTAACAAAAGGCAAGGTCCTCTCAGAGAACCTTGTCAAGGCCACTTAAATGATGAGATATTGCAGAAGTCCAAACCAACCAAAAAAAACCACTTATGATGAGGCAAATGTCATTACAAAAAAGGTGTACACTTCAAAAGAGGAGACATGTAGGAGGTTTTTGTTTTCAACTCTACTGGAGTCTTGCAAGGTGAAGACAAGCAAAAGTATACAACGACCAAGGAAGTGCCTGGGCTGATATACAAGCAACCATTGAAACGGCTCTGAAGCCATTTCATCAAGACAAGATGTGTGCCCTTAAGGCCAAAGACGGGAACAGAGAGTAAAAATAATTATATCCATAAACAAAAAAAAAAAAAAAAAGAAGTTCTTGACAGACCCGTTTCAGGTCTGAATCAGAGCTTCACTATTTTGATGTCAAAGTGTATATATATAATTAAAAATTGCTAACATATAATTTATCCATAATTTTAAAAAAAAAAAAAAAAGAAGAAGTTCTTGACAGACCCGTTTCAGGTCTGAATCAGGTGTGTTTGATTAGTGAGACATTGAAAATGTTGGGGGAGCTCTGTGAACGGATTGAAAACAAAACAAAACAAAATGTTGAAATACTGACCACTTTTAGTGTTTTGCTATTCTAAAGCTCATTTCCAAAACTTTTTGCCTTTTCTAATTTATCATCGTCAGAGTTTTTTCTTCCGATGGAGTTTTTTCTCCAAATACTCATATGTTTTCTAAAATAAAATAAAGCTTGTAAACCCTTTTGCCCACAAAACCTTCTCTACTTTGACCTTTAAACTTTGGGTCACAGTGAGGTTCAGGTTCAGATTTCACTGTTGAGCTCAGGGATAGACCGAGGTCAGAAGCTGGGACACGTTTTAATCTTTCACTTCTCTACTTATCAAGTTATTTTGAATGAGTCATTATAATAGAAAAAAAAAGGAATACTTTTTCACAATATTCGTATCAGTGATAACTAAATACTAAGTAATATGGAATCTATCTGCAATCACATACATTTTTATTACAAATTTTATTAACCCAAAATGCAAAGAGGTCATTTGTCAAATGACTTAAATTCTTTCTATTATATTTATTCACCATTGTTTATTTATTACAATTTTCTGAGCCCTCTCCAATTAAATTAAATTACCTTTTGACAAATTACCTCAACATAATGTGAACTCCTTCGGATATACAAAAAGAAAAGCAAAAACAGACAATATTATGTTCTTATATTCTTTCAGTCAATAATATTTTTTTTTTTCTGAGTAAAATACTTCTCATTGTCAGCACTATAAATGCAAATCTGAGTCACAAATGTCTAGCAGCCTGTCGCAATTTTTAAAGAATGAATCACTTGAATCAAACGTCTGGCCTTAATTTCACAACAGCACAGCTGCTTTCAATTAGTCTGTGAATCATGCCGAGGAAATGTTCAGCACATCTCGTCCGAATCGTATTCCCCATGTTGCGTGAACTTACATATCATGTCTTTCTCATCCGTCTGAGTGTTGGCAAAGTGGATAACATCTCCACTTAGTGAAATATAAATGCTACATTGTTGTTAAACAGGAATATTCAAATGGTTCATAAAAATATATATATAGTTATGTATAAAATCTTGAAGCACCGTTTTACAGAAAAACCCACAAGAGAAAAGATATTAATGAAACAAACAAGCAAACATGACTTCCTGGGAAACAAGCAGCCAGGCAAACCAGTGACTTTATCCAAACAAACAGCTGAAGTATATCTGTGAGCATTTTAGTAATATGAATATTAAAATGCAAAGCAGTCATTTCATTAATCTTAGATCAACCTTTAAGCATATTGTAGCTATAACCCAGTAGCTGAATGTTGCCACAGCTGTACAGCAGTGATATTTTTACAAAAGCTTTCCCATCAGGAATCTGATCAGTCAAGCTTTGCAGGTGTTGACATAAAACAAAGATGGTGTTGAAGACTCTACATTCTTCTCTGGGGTCATTCACAGAAATGTTTAGTGCACATGAAGCAGAGCTTCAATGATATTTCTCTGTTTTGAAATGTTGAAACAGATGAGCAATCGTCTGAGAGTTTTGCTAATTGGTTGTACCTTTTGTGGCTCAGGTACAGGGCTGTAGCATCCTGGAGCAGAGTGCAGGGGGTCGGCATTCCCCTCTTTACTGCCATTGAGATCTTTTCCATCTGGGTCATGTCCATCATCTTGGCTGTGCCAGAGGCAGTGGTCTTCAACATGGTCACCTTTACCTACAAGAACCAAACCTACCGCACTTGCATGCTCAAGCCTGAAACTGACTTCATGATGGTACGCTTTAACCGGATGGATGTCATGCAGACGTCTTTTCCCCTCATTCGCATAAACACTCAAGCACTTTGTAATAAACAGTGCATCCTGTCCGGTTGACCCCGAGCAGGATGCTGTGCACTATTTCTGTGATCTTTTACAAACTGTGATCCTGGGAAGAACATTTTGAGTAAATAACAGACAATACAGAGGATAAGAGTAAACCCTTTGAGTTATCTTCAGTTGCCCCGTGCAGGCGATATCTGGAGATTTCTTTCCATTTGTTTCAGTCCAAAGAAGTAAATTGATAGCAGACCATGAGTGCAATTACAAGCTGATGTATCTCTCTCAAGCAAAGCCATATGTGTAGATGAGAAACAGAGTTCATTCTCTCATATGAACCCTGCCATTAATCACAGAAACAAAAGACAATTCAAACAAACTCAACACAGCACAATTCAGTTATAAAAATTAGATTAACATTGTGTTGAGTTCACCTTTTTTTATGCATAACAGTTATGCTAGGGACTCCTAAAAGGAGTTTCCACTACTTTTTATGGACTATTTAGCTAACATATGCCACAGTTCAGAAGTTTGGGGTCAGTACATCAGCTAAAGTTCTTACTGACCGCAAAATTTCAAACAGTAGAATTTAATATCTTTATCGTTATCATCTCTTTATTTTTCTTAACGGTTCATTGCTCTTCTGGCTTCTAAACATCCATCAAAGGTCTAAGCTCACCATTAAATCAATGCTGTGATCTTCTGATGCAAATTAACTATTTTAAACTAAGTTGGTATTATCATATAAAAAGGATTTTTAAAATTGTTATGACAACTCAGCCCTTAAATTATCTTATTTCATGACATATTAACTGTGTTTGTTTACTGTATACATAATGGATAGCGTTTATGTGTTTTATCTTCTCTCAGTTCTATGTCAATTGGAAAGACTGGTGGTTATTTGGCTTTTACTTCTGCGTGCCGCTGGCCTGCACAGCTGTTTTCTACACCTTCATGACATATGAAATGCTCAACCACAGAAATGGAAGCCTTCGGATTGTCCTCAGCGAACACCTTAAACAGGTAAGAAGAAGTCCTTATTACTAATGATCATAAACATCCAAGTCTGTATGATAAAAACACTAATAATTACTGAACAGTAAAGGTTTTTGCATTTACAATATGTTCTGTGTGTTATTGTCTTTATGAACGCTTAGATGATATCATAATATTCTTTTTAACCTGTCCTGTATGCACTATTGTGGGTAAAGCCTTTGAAAGCTATAGAGGAGTTACAATATGAGAGTATATTATATAACACTGAACATACTGCTGTTCTAATGGCTTGTTTATGCTCTGCAGCGGCGTGAAGTGGCTAAAGCAGTCTTCTGTTTAGTGCTGATCTTTGCTCTTTGCTGGTTCCCTCTTCATCTCAGTAGACTGTTGAAGAAAATGGTTTATGTTCCAAATGATGAAAGACGTTGCGACCTACTCAAGTGAGTGAGCCTTTGCCAATTTGGACTCTTAACAGTGGACTGATTTATTTTATACCTTACATGCTTGTACTGTTTGTGCATAAGGTATTTTTTTTCTGATGTAAAAGTTATATTTTGTACTCTAAAGTGTTTATACAGTAAGTGCTCATAAGTTTACATACCCCTTGGAGACTGTAAGATTTGTAGCATTTCAAAAAATTATATATATATATATATATATTTATTTATTTATTTATGTGTGTGTGTGTTTTTAGGTTTTTATGGTCTTTCTTAGCAAAAAAATAAAAATAAAGATCTTGTAGATTATGCAAAGGGTATGTAAACTCAGGAGCAGAACTGGATACACAACAAAACTAAACGAGTGTCCAAACTTTCAGCTTCCTGTTGATCATGGATTATTTTGGCATCAACTTGGCCACTGTGAACTCCTGCATCAACCCCATCATCCTCTACTTTGTGAGCAAGAAGTTCAATAATTGCTTTAAGGTGAGTTTAAAACTGCTTGCTTCTTTCATTTACCTGCCATTGCAAACGCAGAACGTCTTTGCAAAATCTGAAAATGGCCACAACAGAACAATCTATCAGCAAATTACGCTTGATTTACAGAGACAGATGTTTATGGTCCTGTGAGTCATTCTCAGAGAGAGATAAGCCATGCCCAGCCCTTACTGAGCACAGTTTACCGACAATGATGTCAAACCCTAAGTGGGTTGCTTTTGAGTAATGAGGATGATCCCAAAGATAGTGTTTGCGTGACAAAGCAAAACAACAACAACTCAAAGTTCATGGGCCTAAATACAAGCAAATTGATGATTTGTGCAAGAGATGGTGTGGGTCCAAGAGAAATATTCAAAGTTGATTTACTATGGGCCAAACTTAGTTCTGCAGATAAGAAATACGGATTCATTTAAACTCATTCACCTCTAATACAATACAATGTGTACAACTTAAAATCTAAACCTCATTAGAAAAATGTCCCTGTAGCAACATTTCTGTAAAATAATATTACAGTAGATTGCTCCTTGCATGTTTCATGGAACTTTCAAATGGAAATGCCCAATGAGTGGCGCTAAACAGCATATGTTCAAGTGAGTCTCTGAAACAGATGAATGTAAATCTATCAACGTTTTATTCTGTTGGCTGTTCTAAGCATCACAGCAGTTTGAAAATTTAATGTCCAGTGAGTGGTGCTAAAAGATTAATGCTTTATCGTGTTTGAAAATAACATACCACCTACCCTAAACCTAACAGTGTTAACAAAAGCAAACATTAGATAAAAACACATCTGCTAAAGCAACCATGCCATTTTAGCTTACTTCTATAATTCTTTAAGCTGTTTTATCAGGTGTCGTGACTTGTATTTTACTGCACTCATATCCGAGCGTTCTGAATTGCAAATGCAATGCTGTACCAGGTGAGCTATTGAGCAAGCTTACTATGTCAAAAAAGCCATACATATAGAGCTGGTTATTTAATACAACATCAAAATGTATTGGTTCACAAATCATACTCAATGGTAAAAGTGTTTTGGGGTCATAAAATAATATTGTAAAAGGAACCACACAAAAAAAGTCTTTATTCATTTATAATCTGCCAATGTAATCATAATGAATGTGTGAAAATGTGCTTTATTGCCTTTAGTGTTCATTTCAGCTAGAAAGTGCTGTGAATTGAATGCAAAAGTACATCTTTGGAGTTTAGCAAAAATCAAGGTATGTTTTTCCAATGAGCCTATGTTCGTACAATCAAATTATTTTCTTTGTTCTTTATCATTATTTCAGTCCTGCTTGTGCTGTTGGTGTTACACCAAGAACCAGGTGTCCAGCTCAGGCCCAATGAACGGCACTAGCATTCAGTGCAAAAACCATGAGCCCACCAACCTCAATACCGACAGAAGCCTTCGTAAATACAGTGAATGAGAGGTGAAGGACTCACTCCAGTCAGCCTACATGCTTAAAACACATTATAAAAGCAGACATCATCCAGCGTCAAACTTTGAGGTGGAAAACATCGTAACCATTCATATGAAACTAAAGTTCCTGTGCTCGGCGCAGTATCAGGCTGTTTTTATACATAGCTTCAGACCAGACAATGGACCTGATATATTTAAAGTCTCCCGTAGACCTACAGCAGCTGTTCCCAGACTTTCAGAGGGTTGTTTTGCTGTGTGAGAAGTGGTGGGAGTGAAGACCAACAGCAACAGGATGCAGCTGAACCTAACAGCTACAAATTAACCCTCATCAGGAGCTTGACATGTTTTCCTTATGTAAATGCTACACTATGAACATGCTCTGGATCGTCACTGTCCGACATGAAAGGAAGTTACAGAAAGGAAGATTGAAGTGGCGAGGGACAATCTGTGTTTTCTGTGTTCCTTCCTATAAGCTTTGCCAAAGAAACTCCCAGCACGCCGCTGAGGAGGCAACCTATCCTTCAAATTCAGTGTCCGGTTGTTATTGTTAGCACATTGAATGCAGTTATGGAAGTTTAAGCCAGGCTAGTTTGTAAAACAGGAACTTCCAGGCCGCTACATGCCTCAATCTTTATTAAGTTGTTAAGTGAATCATATTGTGCGCTGGACGTCACTTCTGTTTATTTAGTGGGGTAGGAAGATAATTAAAGTATGCCTTTGTGTTTGAATGCCAAATTAAGTTTATTGTGTATATGCTTGTTTACGGTGAAAATGTAAGCTCAGAATTAAATTACAAATCAAAACGTGAACATAATACAGCAAATGTGAAATGAACCAGCTGGATTCAGTTCCAGCAATAAGGAGGCAAATGAAACTTGCTGGGATTTAAGAGTAATTTCTAGGAATGCATCCAACTGCAACAAATGCTGTGTTATAGTGTAAAGAAAAAGAAAATGAGCATAAGGGCGCGGGAAAAGGGGCCTTTCTGTAATCAAAACAAAAACGCCCAAGAGATACAAACATGTCTTTGCTTTTTTTTGACACTGTGAATTTTCTGTGAACATAACTCATACATGCTATTAACCTTGCATAGATTAATATTAATAATATTTAATGGCCTCAGTATTTGTATATCATCTGTATTTTAAGTTGAAATATTTATTGTTGTTGCAAAAACATACACTACCGAATACTTTTCTTCGGGAAATAAAGATGCATTAAACGGATCAAAATAAACTGTAAAGATTTCTGTCTCAAATAAATGCTGAACCTTTCAAACAGTTATTTGAAATTGTAAAAATATTTCACAAACTTAATGTTTTTTGCTGTATGTTCAATCAAATAAATGCAGCTTTTCCCTAAACAAACTACTGGACCCAATTTTTTGAATGGTGGTGTATAAGGAATTAAGAAGTCAATTTTCTAATTGATGTAATTTGAAACTAATATGAATGACATTATACACATTCTGACAGAGACCTACATGGGTCTTGTTAATTTGGGGTGTTGATGAATATATATAT